GACCGGCTGCGTTCTTCCCGCCAAATAAGATTTAAACCATAATAAAGCCTTATCCCGAAGGCCAAGCTTGGACTGCAGCCTGTGCAGAAGAATACCGTGATCTACGGTATCAAACGCAGCGCTGAGATCTAACATCACAAGCAATGTGACGTGACCTTTGTCCATATTTAGCAGAAGATCGTTTTGAACTTTTAATAACGCCGTCTCAGTGCTGTGATTCTGCCGATATGCGCTTTGGAGGACAGGAAATAAGTTGTTGGCTGTCATATGATCTTGTAATTGGATAGCCACGGACTTTTCCGTAATCTTTGATGTAACCTGCAAGTTGCTCACCGCTCGAAAACTTTTGTTAATAGGTTTGAGTCCTGCTTTCCTTAAGCAAGGGGTGAACTAAAGCATTCTTCCAGTCCTCCGCAAAGACGCCAGACTCAAGAGACAAGTTGACAATTTTCCTAATAACAGGGAGCAGTTCATCCAAACAGAAGGACAGAATAGACGATGGTAGGGGATCAAAGGCGCACGACTTTGCACATGAGGCAGCAATTCTCCGTACACTCTCCTCAGACAGTGGAGAAAATTCAGAAAACTCACTACACGTTGAGGCTGATGTGGCAAGCGAAGTTGCGCCACTGGCATCCGCATCCAGCGCAGACCGAATAGCCGTTATATTAGGGAGCTTAAGCACCAGGCGTTTTTGAGTCACGAACGTCAACCGGAAGTCCAAAGTTGCGTTTCGTACTTACTGCGCATGTCTTGCCGTCCGTGACTTGTCGTCACCGACCTGAAAACCCGCGCTTGCCGTCCGTGCTGGTTGTCACCGACGCCATGGACTCAGGAAAAGAAGAACATGCTATGTAAATAATCGATGTGTCCTTAATTTTCTTTTCTGAACCGGAGAGGATTCTTATCTTGCATGTTTTCATTTTCGACATTGTTTTTTACTCCAAAAGAGTATATTTTTGAGGAGCAAAACATGTAGTTCCTAACAACAACTTCTTTCGGACTCAGGTACGAGTTGTTTACATCGTTCACTCGGCAAAAATACACTTCTTTGCCGACCACCGGTTTTTGCTTTCATAGTTCCAAGAAGTTACAAACATCTTTTTTTGTCCAGCTGTGATTATTGTGTATGTAAATATGTGGTCAAACATTTCAATGGTTAACTTGTACATGTTTATCCTGTTTGTTTGAATGGAGCTCCAGCTCAAAGTAATTAATTTGCCTTGCTTTTGTTTGCAAAAAAGAGATTCCCCTATGGAATGGACTGAAAGCCACGATGTGGCTTTATGCAAGGGGGTGCTGGTTCAGAATCCCTTCCTGGCCCGAAAGAAAACCGTTCAGCGAGCCGCAATTTGGCAGAAGATAGCTGATGAGCTGGTGTCCCTGAGCCGTCCAAAGTTCAAGGTAACACTCACTAAAAGATCTGTCCAAGACAGACTGTTGTTGATTATCACCAAACACAAAAGAAGAATGGCCACAGAGAGAAGAGAAAGTGGTACTAGTCCGGAAATTTCAGAGATTGACAAACTATTAGAGGACGTTGTGGAAAAGGAGAAATGTTACGAACAGCGACGAGAAAGTGAAGGTAAAATCACTTGAAACCAAGGAGGTGTACTCTGAAAAATATATATTCTTCCATAATTAAGACGAATCTTCTGTGATGACGTAGACTTAGTTTCATGATGTACAACACAGGGGAGGAAAGGCAAATTTAAGGGGATCTTTTGTAATGAAAATGGGAGGTATGTTAAAAAAAGTGCTGTAGGCATTAAGAAAGGGGGTGGCAAATCTTTTGAATCTTGAGGATTTGTAACATTACAAGAGACAAAGTGAATTAAGTTAGAACCATTAGTTGCATGCAGTATTTGTGTATAGTAACAAGTCCCCCTGAGTCCTGCTATCTGCATCACCATGATCAACTTTATCTTTATTGGCTCCCACTGGTATGGATTTCTTCATTCTCATTATATCAGTCATTATTGTGTTCATTCTCATCACAATCACCATCACAATCACCAAACTCAACCCAACCTTTTTTTTAAAGCTAAAGCACATATTCAGTATTTGTCAGGCCATCTTGACTTAACTCATAATTTGCAAGTAAAATTGTTATCATTATTGTTTCTTTTCTTTAAAAATAATTCCACAAATAACTTATTTTAAAATAGGGGATGCAGATAGAAAGAAGCAGGAACTAGACAAGGCAAAGGGGGAGGAGGCAAGGAATAAGGCAATGGAAAAAGCGTCTGAAACGAAAAGAAGAAAGAATGATGGGTCTGAAGTAGAACCCAAAAGGAGGCGATCTGGCTCAGAAACAGTACAGTATCTACGCGAAAAAAGTGAAAGAGAGGCATCAATTAAGGAGAGAGAGTTTGAGCTACAACAAAGAAAACAAGAGGAAGAACGAAAGCATCATGAAGGGTTGCTGCTGCTTATGCAACAGCAACAGCAGCAACAGCAGCAACAGCAGCAACAACAACAACAGCTTCAAATGATGCTTTCTCAACAGAACCAAATAATGATAACTTTGCTAGAGAAATTTCCGTCAAAGAGCTAAAAAGACTCTGTTGGTTCTTTCCTGTTGATTGATTGATTGATAAAGAGGGCTTTTATAATCATTTTTGTACTTTTGTGCCAGACTTTTGTTGTCATTTGGAATTCCTACATTTAATATTTATTTATTACATTTAAGATGATATATTGAGATGAAAAATCTTGATTTGGGAACCTTCTGTTTCGCCTTTATTAAGTATTATGTCAATGACAAAATCTGGCTTTAAAGATGCAGCAGTATTGTGATGTTCTCACTACACATCAAGGTCAAGCTGTCTGCAACACTAAAACCTAACTGTAATGCTGTGGTCAATCTATCTGTAATGCTACATGCAAAATTGTACAGACTTGTAATATTATACAACTATCCCCCAAAGGGGAGGTGAATAGTGGTGGATATACCCAGACCCGAAGCGTCGAGGTATATATCTAGCGCTGTTCATCGATCCTGAGGGGGATATTTGTTTTAGTATTACCGAATCAGTTGGATAAAATTGAAAAAAAGTAACCTTTTGTAAATTAAAAATGTCACGTAGTTGGGGAAGTTGTCAAGTGCATTTTTACGATTTTGTTGCCAATTCAGCATGAAAATGATTTTCTACCTACCAGTAAACACTGACAAACCAAAGTTCACAAACTACAATATAGGATAAGTATTGATAGAACAGTTTTATTGAGTATTTTGTGACCATTGTTAAAAGGTACAAACTCCTTGGCGTGTTCCTATTTTCTCTTGTCTTTTCACCAAAACCTTCTGTTTTTAAGCTCTTTGAAGTATAATTCTTATTCTGCTGCATCTTCTTCATTTTATCTCTGTCATTTAAGAACTCTTGGACATATTTTTTGAGTGTAATTTTATTTCCATTAGCAAAGAATTTCATAGTTCTAGGTGCCATAGAAAGCTACAGCCATATGAAAACTTCTGTAGTAAATATATCAGGTACAAACAAAGAAAGATAAAAATTAGTTAAAATATTCATGCACTGTTGGTGGATTCAGATCAAAATAATTAGATGTTTGATTTCCATACATGCATGTGATAACATTTTGGAGTAAGGCACAAACAAGATACATCTTACCAATTTGGCTCAATCCTATTTTCAAGTTGTTTTTAAAATCCATGAATTTAAATGACCTTATAATGTCACCAAAAACCCACTCCACTGATGTTCTTACTTTGCTCATTGATTCATTAAAGGCCTCCATGGCAGGCATAAGCCTGTTCCCTTTATAAGGTGACTGCAAGTGAACCCGCACAGGGTACGCTGGATCACCATATATGCACATAGGTTGTCCGCCTGTGGAAAATGCAAATCTTTCAAGGTCATTAAGCAGGTGAGACTCTCCAAGCATCATGTCGCTTACCCTCTGGAATGAGGACAAAAAATATATACAGTTTGTGTGATCATGCACTTCCTGACCTCCTTTCCCTGATCTTAATTGGTGCTCTTTGTTGAGAGGCAGGATAAAAAGCGGCAGAACGTCTTTCACCAAAGAACTCGTTGCATTTGCAAAACTCAAAATAATAATATATTTGCTTTAGTTTTACAAGGGAAAAAGGATGATTATGATTATTGAATGGAAGTACACCGTTAAGCGTTTCATTTGTTATCATTCTAATAATCAACTTTCTTCCTCTTTACCAAATATTGTAAGCTTTTAAGCTTAAAACTTAAAAGGTTTGCAAATGTCATAGCTGGTATTGATCCATACCAGAAACTAATGAGTTTCTGTCCATACCGAATGGATCAACTTCTTAACTGAAAGAAGCTCCTACAGAACGTATTTTTTCCACTTGACTTGTGTGACTTACCTACAGCTCCATACATGTTGGCTATAAGCCCATTCGGTAGCGTTACAGACTGGAATTTCAAGGCGGGAATCCTTTTGTGTCCATTGTAAACAATTTCCTGGTTCTCGATTGGTCTGGATATTGCTCTGACAGTCCCGTCTACAAATCCAAAACAGTTATTTAGGCCGGCTCCTTTAGTATGAATCGCATCTGCGTAGATTTCTAGTTGATATGGATTGAGGATTGCGTGGTTGCACTGCTTAATCCGATGAGCATGTTGATTGAAAATTTCATCAATCACACGGTTTGAGATCATGCTCAGCTCTGGAGCAGGCCTCCCAAACTGGGGAATGAGATCGGAGTAGTCACACGGGTATGCCATTCTTCGGAGCCGCAAACATAATCCCTCCAACTGATCAGCCACTGTTCTTTGACTGCATCGAAAAACCTCAGGTAAACCAAGAACTTCAGCCAGTTCTGGAATGTCATCTTTTTGGAAACGAAAGTTGGCCTTACACTCCGGTTCCTCTATTTCTTCTAAGTTAAATCTGTCGTAGTTTTCGTAGGAAAACTCAGGATTTCTGGATGTATTTTCGTCCAGTAAAAGAAGAAGCTCCTCGTCCCATATCGCCTTTTCGCTGTGCTCTATCAAAAGCAAATCTCTAGTTTGTTTAAAAAAACGCCATGTAGCGAGAAAGATAACCTGATTCTCAGGTTACCACGAGAAAACCAGTGTTTACACTGTCGTTTACATTTCTTAAATTTTGCGGCCGCGTCCTTGGCGGGAAGTCTAGTGCTTAAAACAAATATTGGCGCCAAAAACGCCGTCTTCGACTTAGTCTCCACTCGGTCCACCCACGTTCGTGTTGTCAAAAACGCCTGGTGCTTAAGCTCCCTTTTGTGAACAAAATACTCCCCCATCTAATTTGCTAGCAAATCTATTGGCGCCTGTCACACAGGCTGTTTCAAATATAGTGTAAGCGCCAGGAATGTTTTCCGTTACCTTTATAGTATTTTTATGTTCGCCGCGTTCTTAGTTATTTTCGTCTTCGCGCCTTTAGTGCTGTTGTTTGGTTCATTGGTTTTTCATTGTCCGCGTAGCTTGGTCCTTCGTGATAGGATCTTTCTCCATATCGTATATTTAGCTTTTATTGTAATTTTTCGCGTCAGTTCTTCGTTTTAGTTGCGCTCGGTCCAGTTTACAGTTTAATTTTTGGGTTTTTGCTCTTCCTAGGTTTTCGTCCTTTTCTCGCTATCGTCTTTACCGATATACTTTGCTATACTTTGCTATACTTCACATTGGTTCACTTTTTTCCCTGCAACAGTTGTAGAAGTTCTAGAATAAAGTTTGTCTGTTAAAAACTAGAGCGCGTAAAGGCTGCGACTATATTCGTAAAGACGAGAGTTTTTGGACTTTGGGCGATGTCACATGTGGTTCAGGAGGCCAATTTGTCGTGTTCCGCCGGGAAAAATGGTCAAAGTGTTCGTCGTTCAAGTACCCGTTCGCGGAAGCCTAATTCTTCGCTGGATTAAAAAGCAGTTGCAAAATTATTATTATTATTATTATTATTAGAGAGTAACTAGAAAAATTTTCCTATGCACTTGTCCTTCACACAAGCAATACATTAAATTTGGTTGTCCGAAACCCAGAGTTCTTGTCCAAAAAGTTTACCTTGCAACTGAAAAACAATCGGGCATTTAATGTTTTTAATCACATTACTACCCTTGTATATTATTTTTGAATTAAACCTAAAACGGAGCTCGTAAAAAAGCAATGAAATGACTGGCAGTGGAATGGCAAAGTTAAAATGACTATTTAAGGCAACCGTTTCTAATCTTTTTTTTCTAATTAAAAATGTGCTTGTCCCACGGACAAGTCATATCAAAGGTTTACATGTCCAAACTACAATTTCTACCAGTCCCGGAATAAAGTTCCAAATCAATAAACATTCCCAACCTTCTCATAAACTCCACCAAAAATGCAAGATTTTCAGGAAAAAATATACAAACATATAAGCACCTTATTTGCTAAAAGTTTCAAATTTTCCTCAAACTTACGCCACGTAAAGTCGACCTTTACGCTACCTTTACGCACGTGCGTTAAGGTATCGTAAAGAAACACTTTAAACTCTGCGTAAAGTTGGTGTAAATGCGCTTTAAAGTAGAGACTTAAGTTTGTGTGCAATATCAGTCTTCCTGTGCTCCCAAACTAGCTAGAAAGTGTGAGATTGAACATTGGTTGGCCTGTGTTGCATACAGACGGGCGGGCAGCGGGCGGTGTACGGTCACGTGATTACCAAATTTTCTGGGATCGGAAGAATTTAAAACGAATATAAGTAGTTAGATAGTTTGGTGTCGACAATCGGTTTCCAATTTGTGTAAGTTAGGTATTTGACACATTAAAAAGACTTTATTATTAGAATTGTTGTTATTATTATTATTATTATTATTATGAATCATTATTATTATATTATTATTATTATTATTATTATTATCAAAATTATTATTATTATTAGTATTAGTAGTAGTACTAGTATCAACGAAATGCTTAGCTCTGGTGGATTACACCAACTGGGGAGCGTGTCATAGCCAATGGCCAAAGTTCCCATGGGTCAGTTTTCCACCTTCAACCTTTAGATCCTTGCTGCTGCCAACAAAGCTGTTTTTGCAGCAAATCCGTATTAATTGTAATCCCCAGCTTGTCAAGCCATGTATGCAATCTTTTGCTCCCTGCACCGACTGCACCAACCGCTGCCGGTACCACTTTCACGCGTCTAATACCCCATAATTTTCTAATCTCCCTCTTCAGGGATTTCTCAACCTTTTCACTCTCCTTTTTATGAACTCTGTGATGCCATGGTGAAGCAATATCCACAATAATCTCTTTCTCGACAAAAACAATTTCAGGTTTTCTGGCTTCAATACACGGGGGCTACTCCGTTATACGAGCTATATAGGTACGAGTGTACCGCCCCGTCGGGTCGTGTTTTGCAACTGCAACTGAAAATTTTTCTAGTTACTCTCTAATAATAATAATAATAATAATAATAATAATGTACATCCAGTAGTTTTTCATAGCACTTTACAACAAAAAAAGATATACATTGTGCCCGATTTAGTGTATTATCACTAGCCTATAAGTAATCTGTGTAGTTTACTCAAATAATACGCGCTTTCTATTTATTCAGCAGATCAGCCTGGTATGGGATGTTGGTGACAGAAAGTCCTCCCAAAGCAAAGAGGATTAATACATCTTAATTACAAGCCTTAGTCTTGTAAGGTGGTTCCAGGGATGTCACTAAGGGCCATAAACCAGGGTTTAAATTGGCTACTTTGAGCCCAATACTTGGCTATTTCAAGAGGAAACGAAAGGAAAATTTATTAAGATCTTTACACAAACTTTACGCAGAGCTAAAAAGTGTTTCTTTACTATACCTTTATGCATGTGCGTCAAGGTAGCGTAAAGTTCGACTTTACGTGGTGTAAATGGGTCGTAAAGCTACCTAAATGACAACTTTACGACAGCTTTTCGCCACCATTACGCTCACTTAAATTTCTTTTTTCGTGCTGTTTGTTTCCATGTCCTTTGGGCATTGCACCACGCTCTTTGGACCGCCAAAATACATCAAAAAAGTCTGCGGTGAGCACGATTACATGTATTCTTCAGCTGAAAATAAAACTTACATAGTTCTAACCCTCCAATTTTTGGTTTATAAATGTGGTGATTGTAAGCCATAAAATACCGCATTCTAATAAATAGTTCTAACCCACAAATTTTTGGTTTTTAAATGAGGTGATTGTAAGCCATAAAATACTGCATTCTAATAAATAGTTCTAACCCACAAATTTTTGGTTTATAAATGTGGTGATTGTAAGCCATAAAATACTGCAATCTAATAAATAGTTCTAACCCACAAATTTTTGGTTTATAAATGAGGTGATTGTAAGCCATAAAATACTGCATTCTAATGCATAGTTCTAACCCACAAATTTTTGGTTTATAAATGAGGTGATTGTAAGCCATAAAATACTGCATTCTAATGCATAGTTCTAACCCATAAATTTTTGGTTTATAGATGTGATGATTGTAAGCCATAAAATACTGCATTCTAATACATAGTTCTAACCCACAAATTTTTGGTTTATTAATGTGGTGATTGTAAGGCATAAAATACTGCATTGTAATAAATAGTTCTAATCCACAAATTTTTGGTTTATAAATGAGGTGATTGTAAGGCATAAAATACTGCATTCTAATGCATAGTTCTAACCCACAAATTTTTGGTTTATAGATGTGATGATTGTAAGCCATAAAATACTGCATTCTAATACATCGTTCTAACCCACAAATTTTTGGTTTATTAATGTGGTGATTGTAAGGCATAAAATACTGCATTGTAATAAATAGTTCTAATCCACAAATTTTTGGTTTATAAATGTGGTGATTGTAAGCCATAAAATACTGCATTCTAATAAATAGTTCTAACCCACAAATTTTTGGTTTATAAATGTGGTGATTGTAAGCCATAAAATACTGCATTCTAATAAAGTGCTAGTAGAAAATGAAATTTGTTGTGAAAGCGGCAGGATTCTTATCCTGCAGTTTTCTATAGATGATCAGAAATTTATTTGTGCCAATATTTACGCACCCAATAATGATAACGCGCAAATTATATTTTTTAAACAACTCAGATCTTTACTTGAACAGTTTCCCAACGACAACATTATAGTAGTTTAGAATGGGAGTACCTATTTAAAGCTCTAGATACCTTTCAATTTGGACCCGACTTTAAGACTTGGGTGAAAACTCTGTACACAAACATTTCTAGCTGCATAATAAACAACGGCTTCGCCTCCGAGTCATTTACTTTAAAGAGAGGAGTAAGACAAGGCTGCCCTTTGTCTGGCTTCTTGTTCATTTTAGCCGCAGAATTACTGTCTTGCTCAATAAGAGCTGATGAACATATAAAGGGAATTCGAGTCCTAAACAAAGAAATAAAATTATCTCAATATGCCGATGACACCACCTCCTTTTGCAAAGATAAAGAGTCGCTTGGGAAACTGTTAGAGTTATTAGACCTATTTAAAGATTGCAGCGGTTTAAAGCTTAACCAAAGTAAATCTGAAGCAATGTGGCTTGGAAAAAAACGCAAATAGGACTGATACACTATTTGGAGTTCAGTGGCCACAAAGGCCTATCTCCGCCTTAGGGATATCATTCTCTTACAATCTAAAACTTTGCGAACAGGAAAATTTTTCACAAAAGATATGTAAAATTCAAAAGCTGTTTAATATATGGTCTCAAAGAGATCTCTCACTTTATGGCAAGATAACAATCGCCAAAACATTAGGGCTATCGAAACTTATCTTTGTAAGTTCGTGCATACATACACCGCCTCATTATATAGATATCACTAATAGATTGATTACAGATTTTGTCTGGAATAACAAGAAACCAAAGATAAGAAGGGATACTCTTATAGGTCCAAAAGAAAGAGCAGGGCTGGATTTACCAGAATTTGAGACTATATCCAAGTCGTTACAAAGTGCTTGGGTTCAAAGAATGAAGAATGGTGTAGAGGATCAGTGGATGTTAATTCCTTTATTTTATTTGAAAAATGTTGGAGGGCCATTTATTTTTGATTGTGATTATGA